TTGAAAATAGAAAATATCGATCACCATAGTTTCAAGTTCTTTAGAATTAATCATAAAAAATAAAAATGTAAACAAGCACCATTTCTTATTTTAAGCAAAACAGTTGTCTAACCAAATAGTTATTTTTTTCATGTCTTTGTAAAATAAAAAAAAATCATAGTAACAACTTGTCAAGTCTTCTTGTTTTCTACCACTTATTCCTTCGTGCCATATTACTACCAAGGGTTTAATTGAACAAATTATTTGTATGTGTATATTTCATATCTTGTACATGACATAGATTCTACAAGTAACAAAGTAACTATGTATTAATTGGGTATAATGAATATAATATACATAATTTTTGTAACATTTAATCAACAAAAAACTGGAAAAATAATATATTCATTTGAAATAATTATTTATCTTATAATGGACTTACCTCAAGATTTGTATAAGACTTGGGACCAATGGTTTCATGTTGGTTGCAGCTGTCAATTAAAGTAGGGTTTTTAATGCTATCAACAATTATTGAATTTATAATTGTACTATAATTATTATCATTTTCTAATTTATCTTCTGTATCACACAATATATTCTTAAATATATAAAATTAAAAAGTAAATACCTAACAAGAGTTATTATAAATTATTTTTTCTCTTAAATTTGGATATAATGTATATTTTACGACAATAATATTAAATTATTAAATAAATATAAATGGTTAGTTTGAAAAAATATAACTTACAATTAGATTTAGCTCGTTTGTTTGATTTGTGGCCTGTGCTTTCACCAAATCCATCATTAATTTTAATCGTTTAGTTTTTATAAATTATTTTGTAATATTTTTAAACTAAACATTCAATGTATTATCGTGATAATAAATAATAAGGATTAATAGAGTGATGACCATGTCGAGACCATAATATTCTTAACAATATCAGTTAAGTAAATTACAAAATAATATATCAAATAATCATTATTTTTTATTTATAAAATTTGACTGAAGTTATGTCACGTACATACTCTTTTTTACCAATGTATGAACATAAGCCAATACACGGTAACTCCATTATTTTTCATGTGATATACTAAGTTTTTGCTTAGTATTTGGATTTACCGTGTTTTCGCTTACAAAACATCAAATATATTGGACTTACCGTATATTTTCTTATTTTAAATTTCATTTTTAGATGGGTTTTAATAGGAAATATGCTATTTTTACATCAAAAATCGGTGTAAAACCACTAATTTTACCTATAGAAACAAAAAAAAAAAAATTTTTAATTTTGGAGTTATCCTGTTTTTGCTTAGCACGGCAGTATAGGAGTCGGGTCTTTCAATAGAATATCGTGCTCGATTAATTTTGTGCGACCCACCGTGTCGTTAAAGACCGCTGCGTAATTACATATTGTCTGTGTTAATAACGCGTGCGTTCGTGGGTCGCCGGTTATATCTAACTGCGTCAGATCTGGTTTGCGGATCGTGCGTCGTGCGCCCGATTTCCAACAAGCGGATGTACGTTTTTTAGTGCCTAAGTGTATTGTTCCTGCTGAGTAGTCCCAGGCGACTTTCTGATCAATCAGAAAATCATGGCCAAGTAATACGTCGCAATACAGGTGGTCTAAAATAACCGCTGAAAAACGCACTTCTAAATCCGCGATTTTGGCGGTAAACGTGGCGGTGTGTCCGTCCGCTAGTCTAACCTCGTCGGTGTGTCCTTTATAAACAGTTCCATATTTATAAGCAATTACCGGTTTTACATACGATTTATACGCCTGTGAGTCGAGTAGCGCTGTGACGAAGCCAGTTTCGAATTCTAACTCGACTGCTGGAGTAGTAATTCTACGCGGGCATTTTCGTTGGCCTTTAATCGGGGGTTTTACGGTTCGAACGGGGGGCAGCTGGTTCTTAACCGTGACGTCGGTTTGCCCACTGACAGTGTTAACTGCCATTAGTGGACTTGTCGGATCGACTGACACCCCCTTCCCCCACTGTGCTCGAAAAAATTTCGAACACCTGACTCGCGCTTTGCTCGTTCGTGTCGGCAGTGTGTACGAACTCCGATAACCTGATTACATCCGAATTTACCGCGGCGTCCCCTCCATTCCGATAAGAGGGGTGCTGTGCCGAAAAAGTGCCAAGATCGTTGGCGGTATGTAACTCGTAAGGGTCGTTAGATTCGGTGTTCTGCGCGACGGTCGTGATGCGTGATATATTACCGGATAAAAATTGCGAAGCGGCAGGGTGCGTTTTAAACGAAACGTCGTCTAAAACGCTGCGCCCTGTTTGAATCTGTTGTTGGCTGGAGGGGCGGACTAATTCCTCCCTAGCCGATTGCCATTTCCGATACCGACGGTCTGTTTGGGCACTGGCGGTGCCAGTGTCGCTCGCCGCAATATCAGCACGGGGTAGGCGGTGCGTCCGCCCCGTAATATTCAGGTAAGCAGGCGCGTACGGTGCGTAGGTCGTGGTAAGGTACCAATACAGACCGCGAACTGCGGGTAGGCGACAAATCATTGAAAGACCGACAACCGTCGGTTGTCTTGAATTGCCCCTCCCGTGGTTGGCGCGTAAACGAAAAATCGGTCGGCTCGTTCTCATACGTATGAGTGCGCGGAATATGTTCGTCTTGCCAACCCGTGCTACACATCCGTGGTAGCGACGTGCGCGACGCTTGTCCGTACGATCGTCTCATGTTGCGGGCTTTTTGCGCTTCGATGTCCGCGAGGCGCTCGTGTAGTGTTGCGTCGTGTCGCATCGGGTCCGTCGCCTCTAATGGACCGAATGTAAGGCGATGCGCGTCCGTTCGTCGACTATCATTTCGCTCTACGTTAGCTTGACGAATAGTCGGTTGTGCAGCAACATGTGGGGACGGCAGCATGTTTTGACTGATTCGCTCCAGCATGTTTGAAATCTGGCGCTGTTCCATTGACATACGCGAGGGCGACCTTTCTAATTCAGTCATCCGTGCCTCGATCCGCGCGTTATTCGAAATGTCGCGAATATTCTGTCGGATCGCCCCGACTTGTTTTGCCGTGTGCGCTATCGAGCGGGCAACATATACGTCCTCGACGTACGGCGCGCCTAGTTGACTGCTTGCGCGCGTAATTTCCCCCGGTTGTTCGACATCAGACTCGTCGTCTAATGTGTGTAGCGCGAGGTTCACCGGATGTTCCTCCGGTAAAGGTGCTACGTGGGGCCGCTGATAGTTCGCGTCGAGTTCGCGGGCACGGTCCGTGGAGTTGTCTAAAACCCCCACTTCGGGTTCGCGGACCGGATTTTCGATATCGAGCGAGCGGCGTACGGGGTGGTAAAATTTCAGTAGCTGGATTCCTCCCTTCGCTACGTATGTTTTCCTCTAGCATAACTAGCATGTTGGGTTTCGTCGCGTAGCGTGGTAGCTGTCTAAAAGCGCATTCGCGACGTAATTCAGCGCAATTCATTTGTGCTAATGTTTTCCCCGACATATTGACCGTGAATATTATGTTTGCTTACAAAACTAAATAATCAAATGTTGTTACTCTAATAGCGGAGATAAACAATATCTCCTTGTACGGTCAAATTTACTACTGCTGTAGAAAACAAGTGTTAGTATTATTGCTATTGTTGTAATAAAGTACCGCGATAAGATGGTACGGGGCCGCCGTATATTATATGGCAGCGAGTGAACAATAATAATAACAGTTACCTGGGAATCGGCCGCTTTGACAAGGTCAGACGAAAATATCCTCCTATTTTTATCTACCAAAAGACTGTAACTATCGGCCGGAAATTCACTTCTTGTCGATATCAATAAGGTCTTTATAACAAACTGTAACCAACACTTTTAAACGACAATACTTACGGCGGATTATATTAGATAAACTGCTCTGACTTTATTTTTATAAAAGAAAATTTTCCCAGAGACCAGGCTAAATCTAATCCCGCTAATACGTAACTGTGAATAACCCAGGTAAAAATTCACTGCTGTCACCAGTGAAATCCGTTCAAATAACTATATGATGGTCACATTTCTATACATTTATAGAAAAAGATGCACTTATGAAAATAAACGCAAAGAAGACGTAACGTACATCTTTACGTGTTATATGGATGCGAAACATAGACTATTGTAAGAAAAGAAATGAGAAGAATAGAGGTATTTGAAATGCGGTGCTACAGGAGGTTGGACTGATATAATTACTAATGAAGAAGTTTTAGAAAGGGCATCTGAGTGGAAATTAATATGGAAGAGTATACAGAAAAGGCGAAATAATGAATTAACCCTTAAACAGTCGCGTAGGGGTTTAGCATACCCCTACATACATAAAAACGGATGTATTATATTGCATAAAAGGTGTACATAGATATAAATTTAGAAGATGGGTTTTATAGTAATATTGAATAAATTTTCATAAATAAATACCTTCGAATAAAAAATGTACGACTTAAAATATTCATCAAAATTGAAATTGGTTATATTTACCCCCACGCAACTTGTAATATTATAATTTTTTTTTGGACTTGTGTTTTTTTCAAAATATCGTTTTATCGTAAATGCAATGTTATAATCGATATAATATTGTGGAATTGGAATTATGTGGATCTGCCACCGACTATGCAATTAAGTTTTAAAAATAAATAATATATTGAGAATTTCCACTACTCGATGATACAGAACAAATAAGAACAAAACATGTAATAAATATATCGCGTATACTAAACAGTATGCAAAGATTGTTGGGAGAAAAATCAACGTTCAACAGATTCAGAATAATTGAATATACTCGTATTATAATAATTAAATGTATTGTAATATTAATAATAAAAAAATTCAATTCAGAAAAATGGTTATATAAATGTAAATACAAATAAAACAATTAAAATAATTTTTAGTAATGCACATAATTTTGTAATTTATTTATTTTTTAATTTTAATTTTTGAATTTTCATCCATTTTTATATATCATATGGTAACAAATAATGTCTTTGAATTTAAAAAAATGAACTTTTTTATACATATTGTAAACTTTTTTTAGAAATGGGGTCTGATAGACCCCCACGCGGCTATGGACGTTAAAAATAGGCACGCGCCTGCTAAAGGGTTAATAGATCATACTTTAAGACACGAAGGCTTGCTATTATTAATCTTAGGATGAATTAACGATGGAAAAAATCATAGAGGAAGACCAAGATTGCAATACATAAGTCAGATAATAGAAGATCAAGGATGTAATTCATATCAAGAGTTGAAGAGGAAGGCTATAATTGACAAACATGGAAATTGCTTCAAACCAATCATTAGATTGAATACTGCAGAAGAAGAAGAAATTTTAAATTTATTTGCATTTTCACATATTAATTGAGAATGGGGTAACACCAGTCATTCCAGAAGTGACTGCTATTACCCCATTAATTTTGATCGGTATTTCCCTTTTTGACAAGTAATAAGAAAATATTTTTAATCGATAAACCAATATACTATTAGGTCGATAATATGAATATAGAATAATCCTCATGTTTTGTTCTACACGTAAATATATAAATTAGAAATATATAATAATTTAAATTAAATTTCTTGAAAAATTTTTTTTTTAGATAAATAAACTCTAACAACTATTTCCATACATTTAAACGTGAAATCGTTTTTGGATAATATACTTCTAATAAGAATAAGGTTTTGTTTTCATTCTTAATATATACGTATAGTCAACATAATTTTAGATGCAAGAGTTTATTAGAATATGAGGTGACCGGTATTACCCACTGACCATAGTTACCCCAATCTCCCCTATACAGTATAATGTATGTCTAATATGGCAGACTTAACTTTTGTAATATTTTTGTCGAAATGTGAGATTTAAATGATACAATAATTAATCAATCATTAAATAAAAAATAAAATGGCACTTTTTTCATAATTTTTAATTTTGATAATATTTTTTATAGGAATAAATTATTTTCCAAAATTAAATCATACTTTGTAGTTCACTTTAGTATGTATTGTAAGGTTTCAGCCGAATCAGAGGGTCTACTATTTACCCACTGTCCAGTGGAACACTGAACAGTGGCCTAGTAGCCGAGCCAAGAAAGAATAGTACTCGTTGACGGAGCTACTAGATTTTGATTAAAAAAAAAAACAACTGTTAATAAAAATGAGGAAAAAGTACGAAGAAAAAAAACATAGGCAATGTATAATATAAAAACATTTTTTTTTAATTATTTAATATATATACATCATTAAATATATATTCATAAAAAGAGAATAAAAAAGGGGTAAAAAAGAGGTGCTATATACACAACAATAATAAAGGGGTAGAAAAGGGGTTTTATGTTGTACTTGTAGTTTTTCATTAATTTCTTAAGAGTGACAGCCTACTACCGTCCATAGTTTGTGCCTCACACCATCATCGATATCTCCACGTTTTATTCTACAAAATAAAAATTTTATAATTGGGGACATACTTAATACCTACTGCAAACACTACTGATAAGATTTATTTAAAAAAAAAACTAGCATAAATTCTACAACATGACAGTATAAAATATTCCCTTAAAATTTAATTAAATTTTCTAAAATTTTACTGGATCTGTGCGTCCTGTTGTAGTTCGGTACTTAAATAATTCACTAAGAATCATACTGATAATTTATATTTATAGTTTAAGCATTGATGCGAGATTTCACTTTATGTATAAATACATTTGTTTTAAGGAAATATATAATATATGCGTGCAAGTGTATGTAAATAGGTATACGCCACATAGTCTCCAAGATACCATTATTACTTAAGATGAAGTAAATGTATCATTAATGAATACAAAAGTAATGTCTGGGATCGATAAGTTTTGTAAAGTCATTTAAATTATGAATGTGTTAGAGCTTTCATAGACTGTTGTATTATTTAAAATATTTACAAATATATCCATGTTTTCAGTTTTGTCAGCTCAAACCTAAAAATAATTAAAATAGCTATAGTGTCGTTCGTTGGCTTATGATGGTCAATTTTTTTCTCCCTCTAAAAAATAATTTCTATATAACAGTACATATCATTTTGTTAAATTTCTGGGGGGTTAAGCCCTTTAGAGTCTGCACTCGATGTCTATGCTGCCATCCTAATAAAAAAAGACGTATATGTATTATTTTTGTAAAAAAGAAACCTTCTGAATTTGTATACATTTTTTTAAAGTGTAGGATCTAATAATGCCACCTAAGTACGAAGTCTCCTTTTACTAAAATCCCATATACTTATTTTTTCTTTAGGGGCATTAGTAATTCTTTTTGATTATTTCCAATGTGTCGATTTTAAATAAATCATTGATACAGCTACGTAGTAATTTAATTTGTAAACCTACCTAGAGAGTCTCATCAATATTTCTTATTAAAGATTTATATGTAATTATATGTATTTGTAAATAATGCTTGTAGCTCTAACTATCGTTCAGTTCCATCAATACATTTATGTCCTAACCAAATTATACATAAATGCTGTCTAAATTGTACCATGGTCAGTTACCATGCTATTAAAGCCACAGTTATACAGAACATTTTATTCTATGTCTGGTAAAAGCTTTTATAAACTCTACAGTGAATTTAAATCACTGTTCATTTTAATAAATTTGTTATTGAAGTCTTATTATTAATGGCTCATCTAATTGCATATAAAATCTAATCAAACTTAGTATATACTGAATTATTTTTTCTATCCTATCAGGATAAATTTATCCCTGATAAATCTGGTTTATTTATGATATTTGTTTATTAATATTTTTTATATTTAAATCATCATTCAGAGATTATTTATTCTTTAATAATGTTTATCTTTAAACCGTTCACTATTAGATGTATATTAATTGTAGGACATTGTAAAGTATTATGTCAAATTAATAAATCATTTGTAACCATTTGTTAAAAAAAGGTAAAATCTTATAAATTTTTATAAAAAGTGTAAAAATGAACATCCTTCTCTTTACTTTTTTTAAACATTAAATTATTTTGTAAGTTAATAAATTTAATTGGTTACTCCATCTCTGTGTATTTTTCTACAACTTTCTTATAATGTTGTTCAAATATTTCAACTTCTATTTTATCAAATCTACTGGTAATGTGTAGTCAGTTGTAGTATAAAAAATAAATGTCTCATATTATATACAATAATAATCTAAAATTTAATCACAAAATTTCAGCTTAATAATAATATCAATTTCAATACAATACAGAACTAACTAACAAAGTTTCGTTAAAAGTAACGTGTTATTGCTTCCTGGTCCTATAGTCTGGACGGAAAAGATTTTCGGGTCGTTCTAATCCGGTAATTCCACGAATTGGAGCAAGTTTTCGGTTCCTGACCGAAGAAACTCGAATTTTCACCGGAGAACTGTATGTTCCGGTGATGGTCCTTGGACGTCCGGTCACATTTGACCGTAGAATTTCGTTTTGCTTCGGAGAAATAAAAACTTTTACCAGATAATTGTTTTTTTCGGTGCTGTTCTTCCCGTATCCGATTGAATCCACTGAAAAAATTTTCACTGTTAAAGTGTGTAATGTTGCAGAATTTATACAAGTTTTTTTTTATATTAATCTTATCAATTAGATATGTGTGCAGTAGGTGTAAAGTATTTTAATAATTTTGTATATGATAACCTCCACTTGTCAACCGGTCCGATATCTGTCATCATCAGCTGACCGTACACAATGCACCTATACCCATATTGTTGTATTTCCCCCCAATGGACTTGTCAAAGTTGGTACCACCACCACCCGGCGTCACGATCACCGGCTACTACACAAATGCCGCTTCAAATGATTTTTTTTC